CTCTCTCTCTCTCTCTCTCTCTCTCTCTCTCTCTCTCTCTCTCTCTCATGCACAGGCCTGGTCTTGGCTCTGTCCTGCTGCTAGTGCATTCCTTACCCTGCACTGCTTTAGTAGCGCTGGCTAGCGAATCATTGCTACAACATCAGCTGTTCTGTAAAGCCACCCTGAGGCTTTTTGTAGCCGTGTCCCAAACTGTTATTGTCCCGCAACAAAGCCTTGAACAAGGGCTTTATGTGGCTGTAATGGACCTAGACCCTTTGATACATAGCATTAGCTTACTCGAGCCCATTGATTCAACATGTTAGCTGTAGCTGAGTAAGGAGAAGGAGGAGGAGAAGGAGGAGTCAGTGTCACATGTTTAATTTAAAAGATACAGTAGGCTTCCTCTGGAAATACATTTATTTGGGTATGTACTCCAAAATACAACTAACAAAGCAAAGATTAATTCAATTCAATTCAATTTATTTTTGTATAGCCCAAAATCACAAATTACAAATTTGCCTCAGAGGGCTTTACAATATGTACACATTTGACATCCTCTTGTCCCAGGACCCTCACATCGGAACAGGAAAAACTCCCCCAAAAAACCCCTTTAACGGGGAGAAAAGAGGAAGAACCTTAGGGAGAGCAACAGAGGAGGGATCCCTCTCCCAGGATGGACAGAAGTGCAATAGATGTCATGTGTGGAACAGGATAAGTGAATTACAACACATTCAATGTAATTACAACACATTCAATGTATGACAGAACCACAGCAGCTGGAGGCAAGACCAGGTCCAGGTATAACCCGGATACACAGGAATCTGTGAGGCGAGAAAGCACAGAGACTCTGGTGAAGAAGCAGGTCAATAATGTGCATTAATGGTATCGGTAATATGAAATAGTAATGTGAGTAATAATATAAGTAATTAATAACATCAATGACATCTCATAATCTCCTAAAAGTGTAAACCAGAACTACTGGCTTTTTAACATCATTAAATATGATGACAAACATTCAAAGCTTCATTCAAAGACCTCAATCAAAGCTTCGAATATGAAAAAAAAAAAAATCCCAATCCATAACATGAACTGATGTTTTGGATCGAAGAGCAAAGTTCTGGTGAGCAGGCATGTGGACCACAGGGATGCGGGTTGTCAGATCCATCCAGATTGACGTGAAAGAGGCGGAAACGTCTCTGAATGCACAACAGGAAGCAGAATCTACAAATGATATTTATTACTTCTCAGTCTGATACTAAGTTAAAATCAGCTTGATGTAAGTGCAGCCTGTTGGCGTGCTAATGCTAGCTCAAAGCGCACCGAGCTGCTAGCATGGCTCTAGACTCTTGGCCTTGTGTCTATATTTTCCCAGTTGTAAAGCGTAGTAAAAACATAAGTTATGTGAGAATTTAAGCATATCTTATAAGACTAAAGAGTGCCATGTTTTAGGTTTCCCTCCCACCTTCACTCTCTCTGAACTCTTGCTACTCTTTCCTCTCCTCCATCATCCCCTTCCTGTCTACCTCACACTTCTTCACTGGCTCTTTTTTCTCCCCCTCCGTCACCTATTCCCTCCCTCAGAGATCTCTCGACTCCTGCAGAGACATGCTGCGTCATGGAAACGACCTGCGCGGTGTGTGTGTGTGTGTGTGTGTGTGTGTGTGTGTGTGTGTGTGTGTG